AAGCAAAGCCCAGCACCAAGCTGTGCAATTAAAAAGCTGCAGTGAGATGAGATACGAGATGGAGAGAGATTCAGAGACACTGAGATATTTGGGCAGATCACCGTGCCCCAGTTTTCTCTTTGGCTGCCCTTGGCTGGATGAACTCACTGGTGGGCACTGCCAGCACCAAACTGAGCGCAGTGGATGCACTGGGAGCAGCAGGGCTGGGAGCTGGGCCGTGTCCTGCAGGATGAGCCCCCACGTCCTGGCTCGTGGCTGGGTCACTGCTCATGGTGCTGGCATTGCTCCGGTGCCGGTCTGCTTTCACCCAGGGATGCCACGAAGGCGGCTAAAGGCCAAGTGCTGTTGCTGGAAGCCAGCTGCAAATTAGTGCATGGCGTGTGATTAATGTGCTTTTTGTATGCATTCATGTCCTGTCACACTGGCTGTGGCTCTTGTGTCACACTCGGTGCTCTCAGAACGTTTATTAGCCTTATAGATCCCCTGATTATTGCTTTCTCTTTTATAATTAAGCTATGAAACTCAGCATGGTGCAGCTTATACGGCGTTAATTCAAGCCTGGCATTCTCTGCCTGTGCCCTAGGGTAAGGCTAAACGCTGGCAGCTGGGCTGCTCACTGCACAGTTGCTATTCTGAAATTCTCTAATATGATTACAGAAATAACAGTCTGTGCATATGGGTGACTTGGGGCTCAGTGTTGCTGCACGCAGCAGTGAGACATGGTGTGAGCTCTTTGGAGCTCCCCACGTCAGCGCTGTCAGCTCTGCTTTGCTGTTTGCTGCTCTCCTTTCTCAGGACATGAGTGAGTTCCTTCTCTTTCTTATGTCCTGGCCTTGGCTTAAACCTCACGTAAGTGGAATAGAGGATTTTCTGTGGAGCTGAATATTTACAGCCACTTTCTGTCAGCTGCAGCAGCTCTCTGAGTGTTTCTGTCCTGCCCATGTTGCAGCAGGTCACCACTTCGCGTGGCCATGTGGTGAGCTGAGCTAGGAACAACAGTATCATAAACCACATCTATTTCTTTGCAGTTTTTGTTTTCCACCTCCTAGGATGTAGGAAGGACTGTGCTGGGATAGCAGGAGCTCAGCACTACCAGACAGGAGATTGTTGCAGTGACCCAGCATCATGCTTCCAGTCACGGCTGGTCCCAGCGCAGAGAGCTCATGAAGGCTTTGCTGGGCTGCTGCTGCTCCACTGGCAGTCCCTGTGGAGTGTGCCCAGCCCTCCCTGCAGAGATGTCTGAGTGGGCAGTGATGGGCTTCAGCTGCTCTGCCCACCTTGGTTCTGGGCTCTGTGTGTGCAGGCAGTCCTACCCAGCTTCAGGTGTGGGGACAGCAGACAGCAGGTGGCTGTATCTGCTATGGAAGAGCACGAATGTCCCTCATCTGTTTGGGAGCAGCAGGAGACAGCCTGGAGGTGGTAGGAGAGTGGGCACAGAGTTCCTGGATGACCACTGTGATCAGCTCTGCATCTGGAGCTGATGGAGGCACACAGTGACAGGTATGGCTGCTCACTCCTGCCTCTCCCCCAGAGAAAACCCCACGTTTTACAAAATGCACATCTGCTGGCTGTGTCTCCCCAAAACTGCATTGAACTCCCTATACTTGCTGTACTGTCACACTCCACAGTATGTGCTATTTATACTCACGCTGCTCGTGTAATCAATTATTACTCATCAAGTAGAGATCCGAATGCTGACACATCTGATCTTAAAGCTTCTGCTCCAAGCAGCAGTGCCAAAGCCCACGAGCAGGATGCAGCGCCGTAGTGCAGCATCTCTGTGCGCTCAGACGTTTCCATGGAGATGGATCTTTGATCTCATCGCACTACATGAAGGGTGAGGAAGATGCTCCCAAACTCAGGAGGAAGGCAGTGCTGATTCCCTCAGGTCAGAAGTTCCCAGTGCAGGAACTGGAGAGGCTGGAGGGCTCTGTTCTTCTTTCCATGATGCCGTATCTGTAGCACCAGCAGGGTGAAGCTGTGCTGCAGCACGCACTGGGGATGTGCCTCTCGCTTGGCCACACTGCACCTCTGTGCTGATTTAGTGCTGCTGAGGATCAGACCTTTGTCTGCGCTGCAGTGTTGTGTTTGTGCTGTATGATTCATAGTGCTTTGGTGCCAGGACAGGGCATGTTGTCCTGGCTGTTGAGAAGAAATGTGAGCTATAAGGAGAAGAGCTATGAGAATGTACAGTTAGCTGGCTGCATTTCTGGATGGAATAGAGACAAATTCACATTTTAAGTTGGAGGAATGTGCAGAAGGGAAGTGTTTGATATGATAACATGGGGGCAGTGACCAAAGGCAACAGCCAAGCTGGCTTTATCTGTCTGGATGAGCTCTGATTGTGCTGGCGTGAGCTCTGTGCTGTGAGAGCTGGCAGCAGGGTCAGGGCAGCTCCTACCAGCACTGGAAATCGAGAGTTGTGTGGACGGAGCTGGAAGGGAATCCATTAGAAAAGGGCATCGTTTGGTTCAGCAGTGGCTTGCAGTGAAGGTGGGCCATGTGCTGACAGGTTCTCCACGCTGCATTGGTGGGCAGAGGTGGTCCTTCATGTCTGCACTGTGTGTGCACTCAGGCAGTTGAGCGGTGTTTGTGATCCTCTCCTCCCTTTGCAGCTGGGTGGTGACACTTCCTGGTCACTTCCTGCTGTTCACAGGGTGCTGATGGATCAGTCCCTTTGTCTCTGTTACCAACACAGCCTCGGACTGCTTCTGCAGTGTGTGATAGCATGCAGGGTGAGCAAGAGTTTGTACAGAGCCTGCTTGCACTGCTGATGTTTTTCTCTTTTCAAAGCATACCTTGCCTGGGGGCACCGAGTTGCCAGTGGTGCCCATTAGTCTCTCCTCTTTGGGGATGAGCAGTTCTCCACCCAGGCAAAGCAGTGCTCATGGTCTCCTTGCTCCCAGCCCTGTCAGGAGTAGATGAACCTTCGTGCCCTGCAGGTCTGTAGGCTCTTCAGCTGGGTCACCATTTTAGTCAACTAAGTTTAAATGCTTTCTTTATGAGGACGTACGTTGTTTGAAGCTCTGAAAAAGTTACCGTATTTTTCCAATACAACAGCTCTGCTCAGTGTTAATCATAGCCATGGGTTTGCTTGGAAAGCTGATGGGTGGATTTCTGCTGGGTTTTGTTGCTGTTGATTTTTCCAATAACCGTCAGTGCCAATACTGTCATTGTTTCCTGTTGATCAGAATGGGCTGTTCAGCCAAAAATGTCGTGGTGTTGTCCTGTGCACCAGTTCACTGGGGAGGAAGTGGTGGGAAGAGCGAGCAGCAGTGAACATTTGGTGCTGCTGGTTTGGGTGCATCAGCTAAGGATATTGGATGGTACTGAGAAGTGTTTTTTCCCTTAATTCTATGGACAAAGTGGGATTGCTGTGCAGCTCCCTGCGCCCATCCCATGGCTGTTCAAGCCTATATGGACGCTGTCACTTAGCAACTGCTGTCAGTTCTTCCTTTAGCTGCTGCTTTATTGTTGGCACATAACAGGAGTTGCAATTGCATGACCAGCCCCACAAAGGGTGTTTGTACAGCACGGCTCACAGGTGTGAAGATGAGCAGCCCCACCACAGCCCTCTTTAAGATCCCAGTGTTACTTTACACCTGACCCAGGAAGTGACCCCCAAATGGGAGCACCAGAACCACTGTCACCGGGCAGAGACAATGCATGAAACATCACCAGCGTTGTGCCACCCCCCTCTGCAAGGGCACTCAGCTCGTTTGAAAGATGGGTTATGAGCACAGTCTGTCCTGCAGACAGAGGAGCAGCTCTGCCACCGAGGTCTGAGGTCTGGCTGTGCTACGCTTAGCAGTGCTTTGTTTCTCAGCAGAGGACAAAACCCACAATGCTGGAGGGAAATGACACAGCACAGGGGTGTGGCTGCTGATATATTTTATCATTGTTAATTGCTGAGAACTGTGGTGAAGCCGGCTGATGAGTTTCCTCTGTAACGCATGGTGGTTTTAAAAGCCTTGATGAGCTTGTGTTGAAAGGTGGAGCAAATTTTATGAGATGGACAAAAGAAATTTCTAAGGTGTGCATGAGTTGGTCTGCGCTCACAGACCACCTCTCTAAGGCTCAAGCAGCAGCTTCAGACACTTATGGCTCATTTTTTACTTCACTCATACAATGAGCATAACTAAGCAAAGACTGCTCTTTGAATTTTAAATGTCCAATGTATTAACAGACAACTAACAACTATTCTTTTGGCAGCTTTCACAAGCTGTTACTAGCACAGGGCTGAGCCAAACATTCTTTGCTACGTCAACGTGAGTCTGAGCAGTGAGAGGACAAATCCTTTTTCCAGTGCTTTGTTGAAATGTGTTGAAAATGATTCTTGGAATTTCATACCTGTGTACAGAGCAGGCAACAGAAATCGCACTGCCCCTGTTCAGATAAAGCTTTGTAATCTTCCTTGTTCACAGTACTTGCTCTCAGAGATGTGGGTTTTTCTCATCTGTGATGCCCTGTTGTTACCACTTGTGTAGCTGCTGCCTTCTACCTGCTACCACAGGCCACATGAAAGTAATTGACAGAGCTGAGCACTGGTGCCTTTGACTCGACACGAGCCCTGTGCCTGGCCACAGCCTTTGCTGAAATCATCTGTAGCATCTGTATGGGGAAATCTGCCTCCTGCAGGGGCTGCGCAGCTCCCGCGCTGATATGATGCAAAAGCTGCAGTTCCCACAAAAACTCATCCCAGAAAGGCAGCGTGCAGCTTCCTCCTCTGCCCAGCAGCCCACCTCTCTCTTTACATCCCCAGAGTCCTTGGATGGCAGGAACACAGAGTTTATGGATGGACCACTGTTTTCATGATGCAAAGTCGCAAAAGCACTTGTATACTGACAGCTCAGTCCAGTGTGTTGCAGGTAATGAATTTATTTTTAGAAGCATACAATAGCTTGCTTTCAGTCACCTTTTTTTTTTTCTTTTTTAATGTTTCCTTATGTAGGCAGGCTCTGCTGCTTTCTTAACATACTTACACGTTAAAAACAGAAGAAATGCCTTTCTTTATTTACTTAGAAAAATAAAACAGGCAGATCAGTTTATCAGAGAATATTCTTAAAAATAAGAGAAGCCATCAGTATTAAAACAAAGACTCTCTGTTAACAGCTAACAAAACTATTCCTTTTTTTCTGTTCAGAGTAACACTTCCTACTGTCTTCTCTTATAGCACTTTGGTAGCAAAAATTCTCTTCACAAGAAACCCGTGTAAGTACTGTTCCCTCAAAGCAAAAGATGTCTTTAGTAGCAGTCAGCCTCATTCTCCTCCACGGTCCCCACAATAGCAAGGATGTCCTCTAAGAGGGACTGGGGGCTTTTCTCCACATAATCACTACCTTTTTTTAGGTCACTGTGTAGTTCCACTAAGTTTATCGTTCCCAAAGCTAACATCATGCTCTCTGGATCTTGAAAGTCCACTTCACTACCATCACCTGTGGGGAAGTTCTGGACCAGAGAACCCTGCCTTAGTGTCCTTTGTAACCAATGAATGCCATGTCCTGCAGGTAAGTCTCCAGTCCCTTGTGAATCTGTGGTGCTACTCTGATAGAACTGAGATTTTAAGGAAAGCAATATATCACAGGCTTTCTGAGCCACTGGCTTGTCACAGTCACACAAAGACCGAAACAAGAAGCTGAACAGGTTTGCTCGGCAAAACATCTGCAGTGGCTTGTTCTCATGAACGGAACTAGTGACTGCAGGTGAGACAGGAGCATAATAGCATTCAGGAAGGCCAAGTTGGCAAAACATATAGGTACAGAAAATTTGAACCAGTTCCAAACAACCAAGTTTGACTTCCCAGTCTAAGTCACGTGCTGCAGTCTGGACCACCGCAGTGACGAACTGCTCTGTCTCTTCCGGTTTACCCGTGCAGCTCTCTTTCACCCACATGGTGAAGACGCTCATCACAGCTCTCCTAGGAAAGACCTCTGGGTCTGTGGACAAGACTTCTTGAAGCTTTGCCGCAGTTTTCTAAGTGTAAAAAGACAAAGGAGGAAAGGAACATTACAAACAGACAAAAAAAGCACAACAAAAAAACAGGGGAACAATGTGTAGTTCTGCTCGTGTCTGCAGTGGATTACACAAAGCCGTACCTCTTTATTATACCGGCTCCCTGCAACACGTGACTGTGGAACAAAGACATAAATAATGTAGGCCAGCTGCCCCATAGCCGTCACAGCGCTCGCTCGCACGTAGCTCTCTGGATCCTCAAGAAGGTTTTCTATACGCTTTGGCATCTCCGAAAACAGGAGAAACTTCCTGAAATCCCTACGGTCTGTAAACGAGACAGCAATGCAAAGAAGTGAGGCTTTATTCTCTCGGAGCATGAACTCGTTTCCAATGCAAACAGTGATTTGTGTCATACGAGGATGATCGCTGACTGCAGGGCAGCTGACAGTGAACGGAGCTGCTGCTCACAGGAGCACGGACACTTTCTGGCAGGCTCCTCACTTTGCAGCAGCTTGGTGAATTCCAGCCGTGTTTGACACTAGAGTTTGGAAAAATGCATTTACAGTTGTTTCTATTGGTGAGAAATAATTTGCTCCAGGTAAATCGGAGTGTCGTTTCAGCCCCATCAAGCAACTTTTGTTTAAGGGAGAAAGAAAAAAAAGGTCATCCCTTACTGCTGTCAAGCCACACAACATAGTTTAATTTGCTGAAGCTGTCATTAAGGAGGACACAGCAACTCAAATTCAACAGAATAGTGGCATATGTTTATGAATCTTTTTGACAGATTTTGACTGTGACCTGAAAGTAAAAATCTCAACTTATCTTTTCCTTCCTTCCTTCCTTCCTTCCCCCTGCAGTTACAGGTCAGAGGATGCTCCACAGGCCTGACTGACTTTCACAACATTACAAGAAACAGTCCTCCAATCTGAACCATTAAATCTCTGCACATACCTGCCAGGGTTCTTATCAAGCTGGTGAAGAACTCCAGAGAAGAGTCTCGTACTTCCCAGCAAGGACTGCACAAACGCTTCTGCAGCACCAGGAACACCTCTGTGAAAACCAAGCAGGAGGGGGGAATTGAGATGAAAGGTAACAATCAAACCACTGTGCAGCCTCTGCACTGTTTTCTGATGTGATCCCTTTTGTTGACTTTTCCTCTCACAGTTCCTCAAAGCACTGTATGAGCAGATACAACTAAATTCAGCACAACTGGAAACAAATCCTAACTGCTTTAAGTGGAAAAAGAAGGTGAGAGCACATTTCAGATGTGCCACCAGTTGCTGTTTGTCCAACTTTGATAGCTTTGTTACCTCGCAAAATCTTGTCAGCTTGTTGCTTATTTTTGAAGAAGGATACTCCTGATGAGCTCCTCAACCACTTGGACATAGCTTTAAATGATTTCTTCAGAACCTGAAGAAATACAAAGCAGATGTACTTTATTGCAGGAGAAGGTGGTTTTGTCTTTATGCTAGAAAAATTTTTTTTTTTTTTTAACTCAAAATTACAGTGAAATTGTCAGAAGAAATTAGTGCATGCACTTTCATTCTATAAAATAAGCCACAAATGAATAGTGCTTATGCCACATTTCTAGCCAACTGTTCTCAACTTTAAAACACTGTGAGTGTCTCCAGCTTTTCACTTGCAGCTGTCACCTGAGTCACTTGGACAAAAGAAAGCAAGAAAACAAAAGTGTTACTGTAAAAGATTTTATTACTTAATAGCAATGTCAAGTGGATTATATTGGCTCTACAGTCACACATGATGGCTCCTATATTTTCAAGAATATCTGATTTACTGATCAACTACTTGCTCATTACCATTTTAGCTATTTCCTGCAAGTCCCTCAGAAGAAGCCTTCTAGATACTCTCATACTAACTGCTAAGAAACACCTGTTGTCAGCCTGTTTGTCAGAAGTATGTTCCACTGGGCAAGCCAGTAGATTTGGAGCCTTCTTTAGTTCTATACTCACAGTAGGAGGAGTGTTTGGACTCTCCAGGTATATCAGAAGGACGTCAAACAAACTTCTCATAGTTGTGTCAGTGCCTGAAACGTTTAAAAACAAAGCAAAACAAAAACTCAAGAACCAACATTAAGAAAAAGGGAATAATTCAACTCTTCAAACATGGAATGAAAGAGGATTATAAAACTGTTTTATAGAAGAAAGCAAGCACAGTCTTCAAATACAGAATAGCAATTTCCAAAATTAAAATTTAAGTGCAAAGTTTAACTCACAGTTGCAGTTAGGAAATGCTGCAAGGACATCAAGAGCTGCCTTCTGTACTCGGAAGCAACCTGCCAAGATTTGGCTAATCTTGCTTCCCAGAGGAGTAGCTGGAGTCAGGAGGCCTTTACAGAACAGTAATGTCGTCATGACAGAACACAGCAAAGATGTATAGGGTAAATTCCTGGGCAAAAAAACCTAATGGGAGGGAAAAAAACACAACAAGCTTCCATCACATGTTTCAAGCATGCATACAGAGCAAGTTTCTGGTAGAGACACAGCAAAAGCTGCAACTTCCATTGTCCTTATGGTAACATAATGCTAATAACTGCTAACAAGTAACCTCCCTCTCCCCCAGTGAACCATTGCATAAATGGGAGGAGATGCTTTTCACTACTTGGGAAAGCAACTCTATTTATGTTTTTCACTGGATCAATACTTGCAGTGGATATAATGTATGGCAACCAAGCCTGTGAAGGTAGACGTAAAACCAAGTATGGTCCCTGTTTACAAGACTTAATATTCTTCTGTTATCCTATTGGGAATGTATCCTGCTGGATTTTCTAACTAGCAGAACTCACTTTTTCCACAGAGAGCAGCTCCCCCAGATGAGCAAGGGTCTGGCACAGAAAACTAGCACAAGATGACTTGGAGGATAGAAGGCTTTCAACAGCAGAGGGATCACTAACTGACTCATACAGCAAACCTAGGGAATCAAAGAAGGGAAAAACTCAAGCTGTTAATGATTACAAAGGATAGTGATCTCCAAACTTGACTTCTGAGCTACTATTTTGAGGTGATGCAGTATGAAGATCTCTTCAAACGCAAACGTCAGCAGGACGCTGCACTTTACCACAAACACTGCTGCTGTCCTTGACTTTTTTTGTTAATCTTTCTCCAGTTTTTCTGAACCAGGCACTTAAAACACTGGTAAACAGAATAGCCTCTAACTTTTCTATTGCAATACTACCTGAACATTCCACGGAGGCTGCTCTCAAAATACACTCCATTGGTTGAAAGAGAACAGTCAGTGCTTTAATTGTCACAACCTGTGGGCTTCAAGGAAGAAACAGCAATTACCAAAACAAGAAAACGTCAACTCTACCCCAAACATCTATCCCCAAATGCTGAGCAGACCAGTGGTTTTCACACAGGCTTGTAAAAAAGCCAGCAACAGGACAGAAATGAAATTACTGTCACAAGTCGAGTGTTCTTCTGATTCTCCCTGGCTAACTGAAAGAGAGAAATGGTTCTGGAATTGACAAACAGCCTCATCCAGCAGCAAAGAGTGAAAACTGGTGTAAGAAGAGAGTTTGGACAGGCACTTATTGCATTAAAATATATATATATATATATATATATATATCCCAGTAAGACACACGTATTAATTAGTCTGAAAGTAAGTATCTATGTGCTATAGTCATTCAACTTATGATGATTTCTCCATGCTTTTTCACCATCTAAAGGGAGAAGATGCCACTGGATTTCTCAGGTGCACAACAGATGAGGCAACACCTTAAACAGCAATAAGGCAGAGTCCAACTGGATACATGGGAAAATACTTTTCATAGTGAGACTGTAAGGAACTGGAACTGGTTTCCCAGAGCAGTTATGGAATCCCCATCCTTTGGGATATTTGAAACTGTATTGGTGAAGGCCCTGAGCAACCCAATCCATCTCTAAACGCAGTCCTGCAACGTATAAGAAGTCAGATTAGATCACCTATACTGCTTTCTTCTAAATTAAGTTTTCCTACTGTTGACAGAGATGCACGATGTGTGCAAGATGCACACTTCTGTTGCACAGCGGTTCAAGTTGTTACACTTAGTGCTCATGTGAAAAGTAACCAAATACTTCTAAATTTGACAGTCAAAATATCCATCTTAAACAACCTTGGCCTTAAAAAGTTAAAGGAGCTTTGAATTTCTGTCCGAAATTGCTGTCTGTAGGTAAGATACAAAAGCATGTGTGTGAACATGACACTGGCTCTTTTCATTTCTGTCTTTGAAACAATTATTCTAATAGCAGTGTCTGAAGTTTGTTAGCTATTTGCATGGTTCTCACCAATCAGTCCACTGTATTAAGCAATACAGTGGAAAATGCAGTGCAGTGAATAAAACAACTCTCAGAAACGAGCAGAGATGTTGGGAGCATTTGCAGAGTGAAAAAAATTCATAGCAGCAACTCCTACCATGGGTAGATCTTCAGAATTCCCACTGCCAAAGCACCTGATTGTTCTGGGGTTAAGTGTTCCAGAGCAGATGTCACTAATGCCCAAAAACTGTCTTCACGAAACACAGCAGACCTGAGAAGAAAGAACAGTAAGTCATATGTCCTACTAACACAAATGGTATTTCTCATCACTGGATCCAAGATCTTCACCTTGCCATGTTTAGAAGAAGATCCACCAGTATGTGTTGTGCTTGAACAGAATCTTCTGTCAAGAAGGATTCTACTTGCTTTGCAACGCCTAACCAAAGCACTTTAGTCCAAGGAGCATGACAACTGCCAAACAGACTAGTTAACAGTTTTAATGACTGCTTGACGTGAGAGGCAGAGTTGGACTGAAGAGAATCTTCTATATGCTTTATAATCACGTGGGCACACGCTGGCCAGTCGCAGTCCTTGGCATCAAGAGGTACAATCAGTTCAGGCCCTACAGAGTGGGTGAGCAAGTGCACCAGAAGACAACGGGCAGCTGAAGCCACAAACAGGCTGGGATCCCCTTGCAGAACAAAGACCACATCTATGCCTCCTGTGTGAAAACAAAACAGAAGTCAATGAAGGAAAATCACAAGTCTTCCTATTGTGGAGTCTTGCTGCAGTCCAGCTGTATACTATTTTAATCCAAGTAACACAGAGGCTTAAACGTGGTTTGTTTTTTAACTTTTTGTGGTCTCTGTTGCCTTTTAAAGTCAGACAGTCCCTAGGTACAAGCAAACAAAAAGAAGAAAGTAAAATTTTTCAGATCTTCACATGTCTTAGTAACTCAGGAACAGAAGACTTCATTCTAATGGCTGTAATATTAGGAGGGTATATTTATGGAAGGAGTCTGTACCATCTGCAGACAGATCCAGTAAGGAAAAAAGGGAATTGCAGCAGCAGTACTCACTTCCATCACATGCTGCATAGGCTAGTACCAATCCAGCATTCCTGTCCTCTTTATATAGAGGATCTAAAGTTGGTGTTAACAGCAGGAGAACTTAAAAACCCATGCAAGGAAAATGAGACTGCAAAATGTAAGTGTCAAGAAATAAATGAGTCCCTGGTTAACTTTTCATCAGTAAAATCGTAGCAAGATGGATGGGAGGACTTGGGGCATTACCAGGCCTGGAAGCACTCACCACCACTGCAGATGAAGTGGAGGGCAGACTGGTGCTGCACCATGCTGTGCATGCCCTCCACCCAGCCACTTCGCACAGATGCATCTTCCCATGCTGCTCTCTTCAGAGGCCCATCCTCACCAAACAGCTTGGCCAACAGCCCCAGCCGCTGAGGGCAGAGAACACACAGAATAAAGAGCAAGCAGAAGGGCTTCAGAGGAGCAGAGAAGCTGCATGTCAACAATATAAATACTGCAGTGAAACCTTCTAAATAAACACTAAAATAGATAATTTTCAGATTCTCATGCTTGAACTCAACATAGCTCTTTTTTATGGACTAAGCAGTGTAAGGGTTCTATTGTTTGTTTCTTAAGATGCAGCAGAAAAGTTACATATATATTAGATCTGTTAAGCTGCTTTATGTTGCACGCATCTCTTTCCCAAACCAGAGTTTTGTACTATAAATGGAGTCTGCTATATAGAACAGGACTTTAAGAAGCTCCCTTATTTTTGCAGAAAATCAATCTACTATGGTCAGAAAACTACATCTGTAATTGCAGTTTAAATCTAAAGGACCTGTCCAGGGATATATGATATTCTTCAGCTATTGATGAGACATACTGATATCCTATATAATGTTTTGAACTGAAATTGAGAATTACTACGCATGAGGACTTACAGCTTGCTGCAAGACAAGCAATGAGACGACAGCAGCTTGATGTGACAACTGAGAAGGCTTATTGCAGGTTATCACTGAGAAGCCTTACATGCAGAATCTGTACATATCCAGGAGTCCTCAGCACAGGGGAAAGCAGGCGCACAACTCACCTGCAGGTGCACGAAGCTGTTCTCCGCAGCCGCGACTATCCCAGCTAACCGCAGCGTGAAGGACAGGACTTTCGGCTCCGGCTCCGGCAGCGCCAGCACGGCGGTGAAGAACTTCGTCAGACAGGGGTTGTCTCGCAGCAGCTTCGCGGTGGGCTCTGGTGAAAGGGAATTACCAAGGACAGGAAGCGGCGTCGCGGAACTCGGCGGTACCGGTGATCCTCGGCTTTAGCTGAATCCCAACCCCCCTCCTCTCCCTCTTACCTTCCCCCCCTCTTACCCTCCCCCCCCCCCCCGCTCCCCCCCGGCGCAGCCCTCGGGCGCCCTAACCCGCACTCACCGGCTTTCCTCAGCTCCCGGAACCAATCGAGCAGTTTTTCCAAGCAGGTGTCATCCGGGCCGCTCTGCCGCGGATCGGCCAGCGCTGCACAGACGCGGGGCAGCAGCAGGGCGCACGCACGGCTCATGATGCGGCGGCCCCGGGGTGACATGGCGGCGGGGCGACGTTGGGCTCCCCAACGACCAAGGGAAAACTCGTTACCACCGCCGCCGGCCGTAAAGCGAGTGTCGCAAAAGCCGGGCGCGCTTAGCGCGCGCCGCTAACGTCCGATAGGCGGTTTTTAACGCAAATTAAGCCTTCCAGGCTCAGCGCGGCCCGGCCTTCCTCCATTCCTACCTTTCATGGCCGCTGGGTGGCACTCGCGCCCCGCAGCACGGCCTCACGGCCTCCCCCGCCAAGCCCCGGGAGGGTGCGAGGGCGCGGCCTCACCCCCGGAGCTCACTGCGCAGGCGCACGCTCGGCCCGGAGCGTCGTCGCGTCGCCTCTTTGCCATGGCTACCGCAACCCGGAAGTGCCCCTAGCCGGGCGCCGAGGCCTGAGGTCGGGCCTGCTATGGCCGCGGAGGGGGAGCTGGTAAGGAAGGGGCAGCGAGGGGAGGAGAGCAGCCTGGGCGCGGGGCCCTCAGAACCGTCAGGCCGATGAGGTGAAGGTTGCGGTTGCTAGAGGAGGAGCGAGGCCTCGGTCCGTGGCGTGGGGGATGTAGCGCTCCTTTCTGTCCCTCCCCAGCAGTTCGATGGAGGCTTTGAGGCCCTTCGCTGAGAGCTGTTCTCTTGTTATTTTGGGCTGTGAACGTTTGCAGGGGCTGGAGTGCTCTTCTTGTGGCACCTTCCTGCCCGGGTGAACGCTGTGCCAGGGCCGAGTGCCTTCCTCAGTGTGGTTCTTGGTGCGACAGACACAGCTGTGCAGGGAGATGGCACGGAGTGATAAAAAGGCCTTAAAAACAACAGAAATAACATCTCGCTGTGCTGTGGGGAATCTTGCCTCGGGAAATTAAAAGCTAGCTGGCATAGTGTGTGAGAGGCACGCGTGCCTGCTCTCAGCCAGCACAAAAAGCTGCTTTAGCTGTGCTGTTGTTGTCAGCCTCATCTCTTTTTCCATCAGCTGGGAGTCTAAGAGATATTTTGTCCCCTCCTCGCCTTTCACAGAGATAGATCAGCATCTTTCCAAAGAATGGGGCTGCAGCTGGAAGCGCCACGGAGTTGGCGGCAAGTGAAAATGTTTTGTGAGGGCAGCGTGTGTGTGTGTGATCTGAAAGGGAAGTGGAAATTTTCCTTCTGCTGTGGATGTGCTCGCATTCGAGAAGCAGAAGGTTCTGTCAGCTCAGCGTGAGGAAAGATCAAACTCTTTTTTGACTCGGTAGTTTGTCCTTTTTTTTTCAGCCCCATTGCTTCTTCAGTCTATTAAATGTTCCCGTAGCATAGCAAGGGTGGGAACAAGGGAGGAAGAGAACGAAAGGATGAGTTGCTGTTTGGCCAAGTGTGACTGGGAGAGGCTCATGCAGTGCCTGCACTTTGGAAATGGGACACCTGAAGGCTGTGTGATGGTGCACTCCAAAGTGCCTAATCTCTGTGGTACTTGTTAGAAGTGACTTGCACTGTTAGCACACAGAACGCAGATCGTGCTGTGTTTGCGAAAGTGATGACTTGTTTCCCACTGGAATTTGTTGTATTCGAGCTCTGTTGTGTTAGTAACAAATCATTCTGGATATGTATTAAAAGCAATTACTTGAAGAGCAGCAAATGTCACAGTTTGTGTTTATTTCCCAGGGAGATGACAGCTTGTCTGTGATAACCTGTGAATCAGATGCAGAAATGGTGAGTTAATGGCATGCTGCAGCTAAATGCCTTGAAAAGGCCTCTCAGAATGTTCTTGCAAAGGCTACACCCATGCGATGGCTCCCAATCGATAAGACATCCTTCAGAGAGGAGAGCTTACAATCTTACTGCGGTGTAGTTTGATATGAAAATCTCTTCTAATTCCAGATGTAATTCAGGCTTCTAAGTTCTCTGGGAGTTGCAAATGGTATTTGCTTCATTTTGCTTTTTATCAAGCTGAGGGCCTGAGTAGCTGTTTTACTGTGCTCTAATGGAATTGAACAAGCCCTTCCTTTAGAGGAGTGGTCCTACTCTATTCTGGTACAGCCTCTGCTCTGTGATCATTGTGGGCTTGCTGTTGTATGTAATGCAGACCAGGAAGGTCTTAGTATTCTGAGCATGAACAGTCTACTTCATAGCACAAAGCTTCAGTAGATACCATCCTAATTTTTGTGACTGTTATTGTAGCCAGATCTGCATGTATTTAACGCTTCTGGTTTTGTTTTATGCACAAAAGGTTTTGAGTTATTAGAACAAGTGCTCTTCACATAACATGGAGATTGAAGCCAGTTTTGCAGTTATATGCTGGAGTGTTCAGAGAGCATGATATTTTAAGCACACCATTTTCTTTTTTTCTTTTTTTTTCCAGAAATTAAAGAAGAAAATTTTTCACAAGCCTCCAAAGTCACCAAGTAAGAGCTCAAAAATCTTCTGCTTCCATTGTGCATAACAAGATAGATTTCTTTGTGGCACAGGAGGTAGATTTATTTGAAACAACTTCTTTGTTCTCACTGGAATTGTTGATTGTGTGTGCAGAGCACCTCTGCTTGAGATTTGTATTCTGTAAGCAGTGAAGTTAGACTTTTATAGGCTGAGTATTGAAGCTTGTAGTTTAGTTACAGTTCTTGATTTTTTTCAGGAAGGGGAAAACAATTTTTTTCCTCCCCATTTTAGTAAGTGCTGATATTTGCTCTGCAGAAAGACCATGGGATTACCAGAGATAATCAGAGATACCTGCACATCCTACCATCTAACAGATATTTATGTTAGTAGATTAAGCACTTCCATTTCATTCTTTTTTCCCTGTCACCTTAGAAATAAAGTGTAGAATGTTCTCCATCAGTACTGGATCTGCAGGTGTGCTGTGTCTGTAGCTTATTTTCTGGCTTTTATGTTTCTTACCATGTATTTCCATTTACCTTCCTTTTTATATTTATAGTAAATATCTCAAAGAAAACAATCTCAGGTGTTGTTGTGATTGTTGTTACTTTGTGTTTATAATTAAAGAAATCACATAGCACTTCACGTTTTTGCTCTAGGGTGAGAAGGAGCCAAACCCTTCTGATAGGAGCATATCTACCTCCTTCCTTTACCTGGAATCTCTAAATGATGGAATTAAAACAGTTCCTTAATTTCAACCATGATTTTTAGTTTAATTGCTTCTTCCTCTACTTCTCAATTTGAAGACTAACTTGCCAACCAATATAGCAGACATCTAAACTCAGCTTCAAAACATGAGTAATTATCAGTATTTATACCTAACTGCAGTACCTGAAGTAGTGCTGGCAGGGGCTCTCCAGCAGTGTCAGACCCAATCCTGTTTTTTGATTGCTGCTAGAAAGTTGCCAGTGGTTTAATAGCCACAGAGCCACTTCTGTCAGCTTATCCAGGAGTGTTTCTCTCACATGAGGGACATTTCTGTAGGTCAGGTGTATGAACATAGATACACAAGCATCTTAAGATTGAGTCTCCAAGGAAGTACTTCTGCTTATATTGAGTGATGTTACTGTTATTATGTTACTCTGCCTCTTTCGCTTGTGGCTGGGAACCTGAAGCTCAAAACAGATTTTTTGTGATCTTGAGCTTTTTAAGGCAACGTTGAGATATTTTCTTCTGTTTTAGAGTCTCCGTACAGCTCTAGCACACAACTGTATCCTAAGAAAGCTGCAGTTTGGAGATCTCTGCAGGGAACAGGCAACGCACATTTTGAGAGTGCAGCTATGAAAAACCCAAAGCAGATGTGGCTGGGATCACTGAAACAAGGTATCAGTATAGAAGGGTTATCTGCAGAGTGGTTACAATTCACTCCTGGGGACAGCTTAACACATGAGCTCTGAGATGGGAAACGTGTGTTTGGTTAGAGGGTACATGGGAAGCCATTTCCATAGTAGTTATTTGGGTGGTTGGAACTGAGTTTGAGTCATCTGATCTTGAGCATCGGAATTTATAGTAGGAATAATTAACAGCACCTGGAGCTTTCAGTGTTGCATTTGTTCACAGTAAATCCACCAACGTAATTCACAGTTATCCCTGTTTTCTGCATTTTGTTCCTTTTTTGTTGGCAGGAATGAGCCATTCCCTGAGATCAGATGTTGACACAGGACATATGCGAGCTGGCATTTCTAGTAGCACTCCAGAGTACCTGAAGGAAGCTCTAGGAATGAAGAAGCCCAAACATTCCCGTTCTTCTAGTAATGGTAAACTCTGTAACTGTATGGTAGATAAAAATTAGTGGTCTGGTTTTCTTCCATGTAAACTCATGCATTGTTTTTTAAGATCATAGCTTTAGTAAAACAAGCCCCGTTTCAATTTAACCTATGTTACAATGGTGTGTCAAAGTAGAATCGTTGGAATATTTTTGAGATTTACAAATTGGTTGAGGCAGCTCCCAGATTTTTTGAGCAATGAATCACTATTAGCTTTCAGGAGTTCTTGCAAACTGCCATGCGTTTTCAGCTGAAAACATTGCAAATATAATATGGTTCAGTGGGCCAGCTGTAGACAATTTATTGAACTCTGTGAAGCACAGTTTCAGAACCATTGATAGAAACCATCTGCTTGCCTGAAATTCTGTGTAATTGACTCCTTTTACTTTTCCTCTAGAAAGTGTTCTATCATGTGGTTGTGATATTAAAATCAACTGGGTGTTATAAGAAAGGCAAAATGTGAAACTTTCGTCCTGTTCTTTTTCTTAAATGAGAACTGTGATGTTAAAAATCCCAGTATGAAATTGCATTTCAAATGCCACCTACACTGTTACTGCTAACACGTAGCTCATGGTGACTCTAAAAGGCAATAAGCTTTCGCCCATTAAGTACCAACAAAAAAAGCATATTTTGGACATCTTTCGATGTGTTTTGTAAATAATTGTTGGGAAAAGACTTCAGTCTTCTGTGAAGTGTGGTTTTCTTCAGATGTTTTAATTTAGTGCAATAGAGAAAAGAAATTTTAGGAGAAATTTGCCATGAGATGTGGCAGAAGGTTCGTATGGTAACACCTCAATTTTGTTTCCATATGTAAAATAAATTTCTTTGCTGATTTAGTTTCTTCTTTTTAATGCCTAGTTTCCAATTTGATGATGTTCGAAACTTTTCCCTTTAAGGTTTTCATTTAGGAAAAAATATTTCTTTCAGTTCTGCTTATTTTATCTACCTATTTTTTTTTTTTTGTAGGCTACATTCCTGGAACTCCTGACTACAAGGAAAAAGAAGAGATGTATGATGAAATCATAGAACTGAAAAAGGTGCTGTGTCTCTGATGCTCACACTGTAAAACCATGGGGTCTCTGTCTATCTGTACGTGTCCGGATGGAATTCTGTGGTACAACTTAGATATCCACCCAACACTTCTGTATTTGTGATGCATGGTCTAGACTATTTATTTAAGGCAATTTCCTTGTTCTTATGGTGTGATAGATACTTTTGAGCAGTAGATGTAGAAGCCTTGCAGTATATCCAGTCCTGAACCTCAGCCATGGCCCTAGCTGGACACAGAAAAGTTTCATTGCATTGGTTTCTTTGCCCTTCAACCCAACCCCTTTCTTTTTTCTATTTTTTTTTTGTTTGTTTGTTTTCCATGCTCAGCTGTTGCTTGTCATGTTTTAATAACGTGGTGAGGCCAGATGTCCCTGTTCATTGCAGGGGAGTTGGACTAGAACATCTTTCAAGGTCTCTTCCAACTCAAACAGTTTGAGTTTTCTATGACGGTTTGTCAAGTGAGGTTTGTGCAGTGTATGAAAGATAAGGACAAGCTGAACTCTATGGATACAAATTAAAAAAAAATGAGTCTTGGCTGCTGTAGATCATTTGTGTAAGGTGGCCTTTCTGTTAAAAGTTTTGTTTATCTTCATAAGTAACTTTATCTTTGTCCTGTCATCTCCCTTACCTGTCAGCCCTGGTCTACTGTGATGGTCTTTGTTTTGTTTTTTTATTTATTGTGTGCTTTGTCCTGGCCGTCGTAACTAGAAATGTTCTGATGCCAGTAGCAATTCATGTGAAAACTCAGTGTTTCTGAAATGAACTTTGGATTTTTCTCTCCTTTTTTAGACAATACAAGCTCAGAAAAACGAAGGAAATCGTATGAAAACTAAGCTGCGTCGACTAGAAGAAGAGAATAACAGAAAGGATAAACAGATTGAACAACTGTTGGATCCTTCCAGGGTGACTGTTTCTTTAGGGCAAGGGGTAAAAATTGACAGAACAGTGCTGATCTATGTGATCCTCATTTTCTTCTCTCCCTTTGATTAGCAGTGAGTCTCTTCTGGAGCCGTTTGGAACTGGCTCTTATCTAACATTGGGCAGCTCCCAGAAACTTCTCACAATGTTCTGAATGCTTTTTCACCTCTGTAGCCCCATTGCACATCAACCAAATGCAATTCTTTGTGCCTGTTGCTTTATGCCTTGGTAGCAGTGTGCTAATACAAAATGGTGAGCATAGGGACTTTAGAATTTAAGCTGTTGGACTGTGAAAATGAGTACATTAGAAAGTCCTGTGGAAATTGCTAACAGAAGAAGTAGCAAAGTTTGTCACTTGCTTTGTTTGTCTTCTCTTGCAGGGCTCTGAGCTGGCACGATCTTTGTCAGCAAAGAAGTCTGATAACGGATGGGTAATTGTTACTTTGCTACCTTTTGCTTTCATTTATACTTTCTTCCTCTTGTGGAGTTGAACCACTACTGATTTAAAAAAAAAAAAAAAGATAATAAACTTTTAGGGAATCGTAACAATTATTTTTGTGGTCAGGTAGATAACTGACGGCAAGGATCTGGAATTAACCATATTGCAGATAGTTTTGTCACTTCCTTGAATCTGTTTGCATCAGTGTTTTCCCTTTTTTTTGCTGTTTTTAACTTAACAAGGTAATGGGTGCAGTTGTTTTTTTTTCTTGTATTTTGTTAAAGATTGTGTGTGAAAATTATTAAGCTGGCTATGTTACCATAGATATAAATTAGGGTCACAGGATGGCAAACATGTTTCTGATTTACTAAAGTATGTAGGACTAAGTATGTCTGGTTAAGTGCAATTTACAGAGAGGGCAGGATTATGGAGAAATCGAACTTATGTGTATATATGGAATATTCCAGCTCTCTGTTCTTTCTGTAGGTGGTTAATGGATTAAAACAGAAGATTTTCAAGCTAGAACAACAGTGCAAGGAGAAAGACAACACTATCAAGTATGACTTTATAGGGGTAGGGACTTGTATTGGATAAGATAATAGAGGGGATTGGAAATCCATGTTAGTTTTTTGCCTATATTCTTCTGTTTTTTTTTTTTAAACACAGATTAATAAACTTTGAGAATGTCTTAGAAATCATAAACCACCCACCCAGAAACTGTAAATCAACAAGCATTGCAGTCTGGTCTCTGTCAGTATTGCTGGATTAACTTCTGTGCTCTGTTTTCAGCAAATTCCAGTCAGACATGAACACCACTGATTTGGAAGAAATGAGGATAGCTGTGGAGACCTACTGTGAGGAGGTACATCTGACAAAGCTCTCAGCATGCATGCTGGAAAGGAAGCTCAGTTGTTGAGCTGAAATAGAAATCGAAGATTTTAGATTTCCTACAGCTTAGGTACACGTGTAATTAGAGCAGAACTTTCATTGATATTTTGATAGCTCCAACTCTATGTACCAAAGAATTTTTCTTCAATAAGCTGAGTGTGTTAGCCAAGAATGGGGAATAATGAAACTGATATACATCCATACGTTTATTGTACATGTGAAAGCCAACATAATGATAGCCTGATTTTTTCAGTGGTGGCCTCATTGAATTTATGACTAGCCAAAGGGTCTTCCTCTGATTTCCTTGTAGTGAACAAAGGTGCTGTATTAACTATGTCAGCTTACCTCAGCTAGCTTGTTAATAGAATCTATATTTCACACTTACAGGTTCATCGTCTCCAAATCCTCCTGGCAAAATCTGAGACTATGAAGAAAAAGTATGTGCACTCTTTTTGAGGCAGATATTTGTGTATGTGTATCTGATGTATCAACTGTATACTTTTGATGGAAAACAACTACATTTGTCATTTTTCTTTAGTCTCTTTCTCGTAGATCACTTAGTGGGTGTGGAAAAAAAAATGCTAGAGATATTTAAAAAGCCCATAAAAGCTCTGAAAGTCTCTGAAAGTTTATTTCAGTTAAATGGAATCCATTTTCCCCCGTGATCACATTTGTTCTTTTGCTACTGACACTTGAAACAAACTCAAAAGATGCTTAGGGTTTTACAGTTGAGTCAGTTCTGCATCTTTCTCTAGGGAGTGTGGTGCAGAGAAGTTATTTTGGAGTAAACTTGATTTTCCCATAGCGCAGAGATACAGATCCAAAGCTCAAGGTTGCTTCTGAGAGAGATCTGTGAGTGGCACTGATAAGATACTGACAAAGAAGCTTGTACTGGTGCTTGTCACTAGTGCACAGAGGTATGTAGATGGTAATAAAGGGAAACATGCTGTGAGAAATGATCTCTAGAGGAAATAAAAGACAAAGCACAAAGCCAAAAGACAAAGCTAGACCCAAGTAAGAGCATGTGTGCAAGTAAGTGTTGGTCAAGCTGAGGAGAGGGTAATGGGCTAGGGGGGTAGGAGAACGTGCTAGCACACCAGATCAAAACTTTCTTGCCCTCATAGCATTGTTTTAAGGTCAGACAGCAATCTTAACTTTTGGGTGTCACCAGTCTTTGGGCTGATGGAAACATGAGAGCTCTTTATGGGCTATGTGCACTGGTTGTGTTGCCTTGATTCCTACTGACTCCTGTGGATTAAAAACTGGAGTTTGATTTGCCACTGCTTTTAAGAAATGTTCATCTCTTGGCTCAGGCGCACAGTGACGAGCTTCTCAAGGCTGTAACCATCACAATTAATTTAGTCACAGGTAAAAATGAGTCATCAGGGCTCTTCCTTGTCCTCATTTATTTGTATCTTTGAAAAACAGTGATCAAGGCCGTCTCTCTTGATTATTTGACTGTCAGTCTCTACTTGAGAGGCCGAGCTCTGAAGCAATAGGTGAAGTTGAAGGTCAAGACTCTGGCACAGAAGGAGTGTTTCTTTCACGAAGCTTGCCTACATTATTTCTGGCTGAAGTGAATGACATTTAACTCCTCTTTTTTCACTGTTAACTATGAGTATTTCTGTGTAAAGCTGTGACTTCCAATTGTAACCACGAAATTAGACAAGCTTTCAAATCCTCAGAATGGGCAGCAGATGTTCCATTTTAGTTTTGATGAGCCTAAAACAATGGCATTCAGTAATCGTTGTGATTTCTGTCACCTCAAAGTTTTGTTGATTTGGTGTTTCTGTGTTGGTTTTTTTCCCCTCCTGTCTGGGACAGCTTTATACATAGTCTTCATGATATCTGGATAGCTTTGTTTGTTTTTCCTGATTTCAATTTCTTTCAATTTCCAAAATGTAAATTAGGTTCAATTTTTCACTCTGATAGTGTAATGGTAGACCATCTTCTCCTTTACCTACAGTTATTCCAGTGAATAAGTGATCTAAGATTCCTTTACAGTGGAATTTGTCCAAAACTAGGTCCATCCTTTGATTTCAGAAGTAAGTTTGCAGTAACTTTCTCATTTAAGTATTAAATGCTTCATTTAAGTACTAAGTGCTTCATCTCACTAGAAATCTGTTTTGCTAGCAAGCTTTACAACTTCGTACATCTGGAAGCTGTGATTTCTTCCTCCTTTTATTAGAAAAATTAGAAGGGCAGAATCATTGTAACACTTCAAGTATTTTTAATGCAGGACAGGCTTTCCTTATTCTGGTGCTTCTCATTTCCACCACATCAATGTAAGTAGCATCCACCAAATCTGTTTCAAATATCTCATTGATTGAAATGTATCTTAAAGAAAGAAATTTCTCAGTTCATAGTTTCACATTAGAGCAGCATTCACAGTTATCTCACAATACATTTATGTGTAGGATCTTTCTGTTTATAGCCTGTTCTTCCAATCTCAATCTGCTTATTGAGTGAAAGAGAGCAATTAGGAGCACACAGGTTATCTTTCTGTGTTGAACAGTTTTTCAGAGTAATCTCTGCATTGGCTGAAATGGTTTTTCATCTGTGGTCCATAGAGTACTGGTAGGGCATTGTAAGATCTGTTAAGAAAAGAGGTAGAAAGCTCTAAGTAGAACTCAGACAAGCACTCCTGCTTATGCACTGAGGAGACAAGAGTGTCCTCAACCAATCAATGAACTTTCAAAGTTTAACTTCTTACACTGATGTAAATTAAAATAACTGTGAAAGTGTTGCGCCAGATGATCTTTATTCTGCTAGGAAAAAAAATTCAACTTCTCTAATCAAAAATGCTGAGAAATGTTATCAAGGAGGAAGTGGAGACAATTAAGTTACCCAGCTAGATAGTGAGGCTGTTTTATTTCTTCTGATGCTGCTTTTTTGTTCTTTGCTTTAAAATTAACTTCCTGTTTTTGATCCTTTTTCAAGTGCAGAGGGCAGAGATACCCAAAAACGACTGAAGGCACTGAATGCTGCTGTCCTGAGGTTGTCCCGGAATATCAAGGAATTGCAGAATGAGAATCGGTGTCTGAAAGAAGATCTGGATCACATTTTGAGCTGTTCTGCATCCAGGAAAACAAAAAGTAGGCACTGAAATGTGGGGCAATGGATTTAGGTACATTTGAAAGAAGTTTGAAAGGGAGGGCAGGACCCCAAAGTGGCAGAATTAAGAGAGGTAAACCAAAAATGGAGATTTGGACTGGGCGAAGGTTATAACAAGGTGTTTGTTAGAGGGGTCTGTCTCTAAATAGCAGGGATGCTGCTCCAGGATGACCTGGGTTTTCTTTATTATTATCCCTGAGAATTCTGGGCTGCTATCACTTAAAGATTAAAATTTGCTGGCAGATTTTTTCAGTTGCTGAAAACAGCTAAGTACCAATGGCTTATATTGATTGCTGAGTCACATCCATCAATATCGTTTTCATCTTTTGATTGCTGCCTCTTTAAAGCTGAAGCTCAGTGATCTTAAGGTGATCCTTTTGTATGGGCAGAAAAATATTAATTCATGAATGCAGTTTCCTGCTTAAAGTTTTGTTGTTGCATTTAGATTACAGCGACTGGAGCAGGCAGAGCCTTATGAGGCGGATTTTGGAGCTAGAAAAGGTGAGTGTTAATATTCGTGTGGCCATCTGAGCTGTCTCTAAACAGAAAATGGAGAAACACTGGCTTGTGCTGCTGGCAGTGTGTATCCTGTCTCACACATGTGAACTATCTATTGGATATCTATTCCATGTCCCCTTCCTCCCCTTTTCTTTTCTCAGAATTATTGCATGTAGATGCATATTTCAGAAACAGTTTTCATTTCATCTTTTCTCTTGGCCTAAGTGAAAATTTTTTATGCTGAATTCAATTTTCTTCTCTTTGTGTTTTCTTCTGTGTAAATTTATTTTGCTCAGAAAGTAGGTGACATGGAGAACACCAGAGTATTGTCAGCTGATAGTGAGGCAACACAGTTACTTGGTGTGTCATCTTCACCTTCTACAGACCCAAATCATGCAGCCTCTCAACAGGTAGATCATGCTGAGGAATGCCATCGACTCCGAGAGCTAGTAAAGAAACTGAAGAGTGATAGGAGTGCTCTTCAAAGTCTCCTACTTAGTAAAGAGTAAGTGCAGCACTTGTTTTTTTGTTTGTTTTTTTTTTTTTTTAGCATAAGTTTTATTCTGGTCTGCCGCTTTCTCCACTTAAACCTTCCTTCTGCCAGGCCATACGCTGTCTTCTTTCTCTCCTGTTAGCAACTGATTTGTAATTTAAATTGCTTAGGCTGGTTTCATATGTCACTGCATAAGGGCAGGCAGGTTATTCTGATCATGAGCAGAGATTTGCACACAGCTGTGTATTGCTAATAAAACGCTTTGCCTCTCTTTACAAATTTTGCTTTATTTAAAGGGTAAATTAAGTGTGTAGTTCCTTTCCAAATTTAAGACAACCCATTTTGTTTAGAAGTTTAAGTAAAAAATAATTACTTTATTAGGATGTGAATGATGAAAATATTGCTTAGATTTCCTTATTCTTGTTTAGCTTAGACATCAAGCAGTTGCTTCAGGCCAAGGCTGAAGCAGAGCTGGAGCTGCAGAAGTACCAGAATAACAAGGAAGAAAGCACGAAGGAAGAGCTGACTTTAAGGTATCATATCTTGGTTTAGTAGATCTTTAAAATAAATAAATAACTCCAAGAAAAAAACTCAGCCAAAACCCATTAAAGAGAGTTCTCTTTTGAAGTGACACACAATTCATATAGATCATATGGGCTGCAGAAAGCTGGGAATTCATTTGTGTAAAACTCTGATGGATAGACAGGATAAGTTATCGGGGGAGGAGATCTGCAGAGTTTTAGAGAAAGTGAAAGACTGAGATATACAATAGGGAAAAGAATTAGATTGTAAGAAAAGTGAATGAGGTGGATGGAAAAAAAAAAAAACTTGCCATGTTGCACTTGAGAACTTCTTTCAATTTACAAGAAAAACTGTACTATCTTTATCTAGAAGCTTCTGCCTTTAGACCATTGCTAATACATTGATAATAATCCTGTGCAAATGTAGGGGAGAAAAATAGTGACTTCCTTATTGCTTTGTAAGATGGGACTTTGTTGCAGTTTCATATTTGTCAGTCATCATTTCAAATCTACTTGTATTATTAATAGCATCAATTGTACCATTCTAACCTTGGGCCATTTTCTTTATAATTTTAACCTAAGGCTTTGCTATCGCAACTTGAGAATTGATTGTCGATGTTCTGTTGCTGTGAGAGTATGTCTGATGTTATCCTGAGCACCGTTTCCCACTTGGACATTTAAAAAAGCCAAAGTAACCCAATTTTATGAAACAGTTTCAGTCTATTCAAAGCAGGAAGAACAGAAAATGTCTGACTATTAATATATTTGCCTTTCCAACCATAGCGAGGAAATGCAGAACCTTACACGGAAAGAAGGGAAATCACAGTCAAAACTGGAGGAAGAGGAGAGACAAACGACAGAAGATGCATTAGAGAATCTTAATGAGGTACAGATAAATGTTTTGTGGGTGTTTTTCTTTGCATCTGATATCCTGTGAGTTGTTCAGATAGTCTAAATAGCTAAATGTTTCTTCTCTTTTCTGACACATGGGAGACACACACAGAAGGAAAGGAGGAGGGGAAGCAAGAGCAAAAACCGTCCTTTCCAATGATTTTATGCTGACCAGGTGATCATTTAGGGCACTTATGCTACTTGGTCAGAAAACACTATTTAGCTTTTCTGTATGGATGGAAGCTGGGCCCTTTTTTTTCCTTTTTTTAATTTTTTTATTTACACGACACGATATTTAAGTAAAAATGGAAGAAAATGGCAGTACAATGCAGTTAGCACTTAACCCCCTTGAACTGAAGTATTTCTAGAGTTAAAGTATTCATAGCACCTCCATTTTGAGTATTTAGATGTCTAACAGCTGTGTTTGTGCAGCCATTTGTCCTGGACAGTTTTAAATGGACCTCTGCACTCAATTTGTTTTATTCATGAATGGGAGTGAACTTGGTATCAGTGATCTCCCACCCCTGTGCTGCACGTTGTGGCTGATCTGTAGAGATGAATGGGCACTGGCATAAATGCTTGCAGATACAGGGAGGTCGTGTTAATCTCATTCCACTAAAAACCATCTAGCAGTTATAACTGGAAATTTTGACCATTGGAACTTTAAGGTTAAAGTACTCTGAAATACAGGTTGTACAGAAATAGAAATAAAAATGTCCGTGAGCTTAAGGGGATGCTATTTCTGATATATTGTGCAGTTCTGTAGGAATTTAAGTTAGGTTTTTTGTTAGAGGGTGATGGATGCTAAATGATGTTTTGAATACCAAATAACTTGAGTTTCTATTTAGAAACAGCCAATGAACAGTCCCTTCTTTCCTCTGCAGACTATGTATATTCTTGGCCGCTAACCATCTATTTATTGAAATGTTCCCATTATTTGTAATTATCACTAAGTTCCCACCAATTTTTCATTTTAATGGTAGGTTGTCACTTTTAATATAACATGATCCATTTGCTAAATGTGAGCCTTTAACTCAGCATTTCAAAGGTTATAAATAAATCCTTTTCAAAGAATCAAGCAGCTTTTTCCAGGGTCTATAAAATCTCTTATTGTTTCGCTTGGAATTTTATACCAACAAATTAGATTCGTGTTTTAAAATTGCTGTTGTGACTTTAGTTTGGCAAGTGAGGTAAGATGATTGGTATAGGTTGGATATTTAGGGATCAAAAGGATCAGATGGCCAGAGGCTCAATGGACAGCCACATCTCAGGAGAAATATCTGGAAGAAAATCTTGTTTTGCTCTGTTTCTTCGTCTTTTTCCTCTAATTAACTAATTTCTTCAAGACAGAAGAGTAGAGTTGTACTGATTTACACAAGCTCTCAGTCTTGCATGTGTGATGTGATGACCAGCACATCAGTAAGGTTAAAAACAATTTTGGGGTCCCATCTGCCAGCAAGAGACACGAGAGAGCTTCCAGGTTGATTAATATTTGTGTTCCTTGGAGAAGAATTGCAAAATTAGGTGCCCTGACATTTGTTCTCAGTCTGTCAATAATACAAAAAATGTTTCTGGTCAGCAAAGCATTGATTTCCACTGTGGGAGTTCCTACTGCTTTAGCGATGCATAGAAGCATAGAAGTACATGTAGGTGAAAACCTTTCCATTCCCACGTTCAGCTAGCAGCTGAAACAAGGACAGCAACGTGTTTTACAGTAACAGTCACCTGGATTGCAGGTTTGAACACGAGCAGTATTCAGAACTAAGATTTTCCTCCTTACCCTCTTTCCACCCTACGGGCAGGCAGAACATTGAAGGACTTTGGTGTCGATTTCTGAGTCAGTTGTAACCTATATCCCCTCACAGAATTCTAATTTGTGTCAGTGTGATGAGTTAAAGATTCTCCTTCACAGCATTCACCAAACTGCACAGTTAAAGATGAAGAAGACTGCAAGAAGGAACAAGCAGCCAAATGTATCCAGAGATGGTGGAGGTCGTACCGAAGTAAGGTGAGAGTCAGAGTCTGGATAACCTGCCACGGGGCTCCAGGACCTGCAGCAGTGATTCCTTACCATCATCTTCTCTTGCACCACTCTTTTCAAGTCCTTCCTGATGCTTCTTTTGCCTTTGCTTCCTAGAAGCTTGTTTCTGTTCTGAGAAGTGCAGTTTCTACATGGGGGAATCTGGGTGAGCACGTAAACTAAAGGAGCAGAAGCAGTGCTTCCTTGGTAACATTGCCTCGTCAGATACTCTTCTCGTGGCTCCTTCCTGCTGCACCTAGCATTAGCACTAGGTGTAGAGCACTAGGAGTAGAGCCCAAACTAACCAACCCAGCGTGCAGCTGATGTGTCCTGCCCCTCTGATATGCCATATCAGAGAAGTCTCTTCTAGCAACTAATGCCTGTAGCACCAAGACAGGCTTTCATGAGATTTGTTTTTGTGGTTTTTTTTCTTCTTCAATACTGTTGTGAAGCACAGACTTCTCAGTGCTTTGGACCTGTGCTTGGGAAAGCTGCCTAACTTTCCATTTGAGGCTACAAATGAATGACACAGTAGCTAAAGCTAGAGTAAGCAGTACTGAGTCCTGAAATCGTTGCGTTTTTTCTTGTTCTTTCAACTGTTTCTTTTTTCTTTTCTTTTTTTTTTCCAGCAAGCTTTCAAACAAGAGCGAAGTTTGTTAGGCAGTGAAAATGATGAAATGAGAAAATATAAGGTGGGGTTAAATTCTTTTAAAAGATTACATTGTTATTTATTATGTTAAACTTTGAGATGTAATGATCTATGACAACGCATTTTCCATTTCAGAAGGAAGAAATTGCTCTGGGTGAGGTGAGTATGTTTATGATACCCAACAAAACAGTGGATCACATGTAACCTGCATAAAAGCATAACCCAATATTTTTTTTAAATTATTTTTAAACAGGTTTTATTGTGATGAGCTGTTGTTCAAAGGCCATCTTTGTAATTCAGGCTGCTCATGATCCACCTTGTGACATCCTGATTTTGTTTGATACATCTTTTCAAAGTGTTCACCACTCAATCTCAAATTTTCTGTGTGTTTTTCATTTTCACTGTGATGAATCTTCAGAAGAATTTCAAGTAGGATTTTGAAGCCTTTACTGAAGAGAAATGTTGCTGAGTGTTCTTCAGAAATTGAGTTTGTTTGACAATTTTGTCACTTCTTAATAATTGCTTTGCATACAGGATCTGATTAAACTTTTTTCAAATCACACAGCATAGCATCTTACACTTGTTTCTTACAGAAAATAAAATCCTACTTTCAGAAGTTAGAACAAATTCTAATTACATGACAGAAGCACGTGTTGTGTCTAGATTAGAATCTAGTAAAATATTTGAGCAGAGAGGAAAGACTGCTGCATTCAGCATAATCACTGCAGTGGTTTGCCGGGCTTTACTTGATTTCTGATCATACCAGAGAATCAGAGAGCCTGCTGCCTAGCCAGAATCTAATAGGAGAGTGGGATAATATTTCTCTATGTGTGAAATGCAGGCTAGCACTGGCAGCTGGAATGTAATTGCATTTGATAGGATCAATGATGAACAACTTTTAGGCTGAGTTTAAACTGTGGGTTGTTTTATATCCCTCACGTGCTGGGTAAATTCTCTGGATTGTATGGGAGTCTCTGTGAAGTAAATGTGTGAGATCCCTTCAGCTTATAAAGATGTCAGGACATCACTGTCCATTGCAAAGGGAAAAGCTATTTTGCATATATGTGTGCTTGGGACTCTTGTTTTAATTTATAGCTGCCACCTTTCAAGGGAGTTACCATTTCTTCTTTATGCTAGGCAGTTGTTGTGCTTCAGGCAGCTTTCAGAGGACATCTGGCTCGACAGAAGCTGCTACTGAGTAGTGGGCTGCATGATGCCCAACCTTACAACAGGCAAAGCCCAGGAAGAAAGGTAACTTCAGAGGCAAATGGGTTATATCATTATTTTCACCTTACTTCGTAGAGGACTGTGCTTCCACACTTAATTCTCTGTGTCACCCTGTAGAGCAATCTTAATGCGCTGGTTGGTAGCACTGCTGTATTTCCAGACAGATATCCAGTTCATGCCCTGGTGTTCCTTTCTGACTTCTTAGTTTTTCATAGAAATAAAGCTGTAATTCCTTTGCATTATAGTCTTGAACTGTTCCTTACCAGTTAAGCATTTTTTTCTGTAAATCGTTTGCCAGCTTATGTGAGCATCCTTTGCACCTTTAGCATGCTAAAATTAATTCTCCATTCATGTTGTCCATCTGGTTGCACTTGTCAGTTTTAAGCAAATAGGCCAGTTGTAGCAGAACTGAATCGTTCATGAAGGTTTCCTTACCTCTTCTGGCTTCTAGATGGTTTCCTGCCTGAGGTATAAATGAACTTCAGAACTCTGTAAGCCTTACCTTGCAAATATCTAACATTTCATTAATTGAATATGTATATTTCAAAACTTGTAGGGTGATCAGGTTTGCATTCCTACTGGTTTAGTCTTATAGAAACTTTAAGACTGCAGACCAAAAGATAGAAGTGTTTGCTCCACTGCTGTTTTCACAATCAGGAAATAAAATTGACAAAGCTTCTGTCACGTTTCTGTGCAATTTGTAAAAGGTCAGTTCTCTTTGATCTGATTACTCTGCAGAACTCCTGTATGCCTCATGTGTCAAACTCCTTGAGCTCATCTTCTCTCAGCAAGGAGAAAGAGAAGATTGTGACATTCATCCAGTCCGTTTTCAGGGCTCACTTAACACGTACAGTACTGCTTGAGAAAAGGTAAGTGATGAATAGATTTTTCTGCAGTGTAGTAGCAAAATTGTTTTTACTACAGAGGAGGGGTAATTTTTTTGTGTAGGATTTTAGTGTGGGTTCCTTGGCACAGAAGGAGAAAGAGAGCGTTGTTCAAACACACACAAGATAGCTTTCTCATGGGTATGCAACAGAAGAGTTTCTTGTTGCAGTCTTCCTACATCCTGCTGCGTGTTCTCTTCCATAGGGATGAGGGAAAGTAGAAGAAAAGAATTACTCTTTGGGAAAAAAAAAAAACCAGTTGCTGTCAAACTCATTGCTAGCTTGAAATTGAGTGAAGCTCTGACATGTGGAAGTTAAATGTTATGTGGAAGAAGAGGAGGAAGGAGCTAGAATATGATCTTGCATGAAGTCTACTCAGCTCAGGAAGAACTCAGTCATTTGCTTACTACATAGGTTTATGGTGGCTCTGGCTTGAAAAAATACTTCCTTTTTCTCCAGGATTTACTGCACCAGAAGCCATTAGTGCTGACTGCTGTTGTTACAGTGAGAGTTACTTAATTGTCACCTCACATGAATGACTGTGCTCACTTCCATAAGTGATAAACGTTGATGCTAGTGATACAAGAAACTGTCCTGTATGCATTCTGACAACAGATTGCTGTTCTTGTTCTGTACCTCAGGCTATGCATTGTGTCTTTTTGCAGGCCCTCTGCGTCTAGCACAAGTGAGAAAATGGATTCTGCTCTCTGCAGGACAGAGAACAAACCAGTCTCAGCAGCACTCCAGACCAGCCTGTCAGCCAGCATGTCTTCTCTTCCTGGTAATCTTATTTCCCTTTGTGCTCAAAAGCATGTGGAATTTGAGCAAATGTATGCTTAATTTTACAGGGAAGTTCATGCATGCTTGCACTCTATATCCATGTATTCTTTTATACAAGCAAGTGCAGTCCCTCCAATAAAGACTGTAAGTTCTGACAGTACCACTCCCAGCTTCTCCACCATGCTTTGGACCTGAAGCCATAGACAAGTCAGCTGTGTCTATTAAGTCATGTTTCCTCAGCAGTCTTCATTTGCTGCAGTAAGGAAAAAAAATGAAGTTGTGGATGACCTTTCCAGCTGGTACCACAGTGGTGCAAACTGGGAAAATGTCTTTTCTCATGGCTGATCTACAATTTGGTTTCCTTCTTGAATTCTACTTGTTGCCTCTGAGAACATGGAACTAAAGCCAGAGGTGCCTCTAAGAGGCTGTTAGAAGTACTGAGCAAGAAAGGCAAAACAATGATGCAGAAAGAAAAGCTGTAGACACACAGCTTCAAAGGACAACAAACAGAAAAAGCTAGCTCTATCCTGAACAAGAGATTTTATGACCACAGTTGGAGAAAAAAAGAGCAGCTTTGAGGGTGACCTGAGAAACATTGACTTCTTTTTGTTGGTGAAAAGCTGATACTCCCTGCAGACTTTCTGAGAAACAGAGTGTGGTTTAAGCAGCTCAGGCTGTTTCTGTAAGATATGAGATGGAGAATAAGCCAGATTTGCCAATGCTGTGAATACAAAGATTACCCTGCAGTGGAGGAGGAAGTATATAAGAAACTTCACTGTATGCCATATTCAGAAGCACATTCTACTACTTTTGAAGGGGTCAGTAATACTTGGTTCTGAAGGTATTTTAGTTTTGAGTGATTTCAGTTATGTCTAGAGACAGTATCCAGAAAAGAAATCCCACAGCCTCCCGTTTTGCCTGGGCTGTAAGTTTACTGAAAGTCTGATATCTGTCCTTCCTAACTCATGACTGATGTGAAAATGTGCTAGTGAAATTGGCTTTTGGAGTAATGCACTTCACTGGTCATTCTGTATTTTGGAAAGCAGAGAAGACAAGGAGCTTGTTTAACAGCTGAGTGATTTAAAGCAATCAAATTCCTTTGGCTTTAAATCATGCAGCTGTTGAACAAGCTCTTGCTTCATTCGTTCCAAGGTCAAACTCGTGTTTTGTGACCTTTCAATCTTTCAAAGATCTTAAACTTTCTATGAAAATACACATTGCAATAAGTCATTTAGTTTCACAAGCCTTTTGGCATTATTTTGAGAGGAATGGGAAAGATGAAAGTGTGTTTTAAAGAGGCTTGTATATGGGCTAGAATAAATTACATTGTTTTCATCAGGTTAGGTATGTCTGTTTTCTGTAGAGGAATAAAATCTAGCACAAGTGTTGCAGCATTCAGCGCTGCTTTGCTTTGCTCACAAATGTGGATACTACTTGAAGAAAGCCATTTCTTTGCTTCCAATGAAGTGGAACAGATGATAACAATTCAGTCTAAAATTTAGGCTTTTGTTTCTTTCTGTCAGGGGAGTGATAGAAAGGAAAGAACGTTCGGAATATGCACAGCAATCTTGAGTAAGCATTGCTCTCCACATATTGCTGCTCTGGGTACAACTGTTAGCTTATCTGAAGCATTTTCAAAATCATAATGAATTTACATCTAGTTGTTTCACTAGTGTGCTGAGCCATTCACAAGCACAAAGATATTGTTGTCATTTTGAAGTGCATTCAACTGAAGATGAGGGCAATAAGATCTCAGTCTTCAAGAATGGGATATAATCTCGAATGATTTGGTCAATATTAAGCCATTTCATATATGATGTCTGTTTGGTGGCGTTGCACCTTCTAGTTACTGTGCTTGCTTCCAAAAGTTCTCTTTCCTTATCCCTATCGCAAGCACTCGTAAATCTTTCTGAAAAATCCTCATATTCTTTGCTGACTGATACAGAGAGGAATTTCACTTAACTAGAAAGTCATGCGTTTCTTTGCTTCTGTGGGTTGAGGTCAGCATGATGGCCTCCTGCATTCCTTGTTTTCATTCACAGGCTCTCTGCCTGTCACCCTTTTTCTATTCTGGGCTTGTTGCAGACCCCTTTTCTTTATTCCACATTCCAATTGCTGCGTATGCCTCTTCCATACCAGCAGTTTTCTTCGTCAGGAACCCCTCATTTCACCATAACAGCAATGGAACATCAGTTCTTCTCCCTAAGGAAGGTTCCCTGTATGCCCTCTGCTATCTAGTCCACTGTCAAACTCTCAGTGCATAGCCTCTTCCTTGCGTGTTTCCTTTTTCTACCACAGGTCATCTTGATTTGTTCCTTTTCCTCTAGGAGAGATGGTCTTTTTTCAGAGAACCGACACTCGAAGCCGAAAAATTAGTGGAGCTGAGGGCAGGATATTGAGCTAGAAGATCTTAATAGCTGTCATCATTAAGTTAATAAATTTTTTGCACAGGGGTTAGAATCTGCTGGTTCTGCTTGTCAGATGTAAAAGGCCTCATGTATCGGTTTTCTCTTTCCAATTTTTAGTGAAACCAAGGTTCTATCTGTTTATGCCCCAAACATTTCTTTAAATTGCCATTGCTGAGATGCATAGAACCAATAAAACTTTGTGTCATTCAGCATGTGAATATATGTAGTGGTTTGTAGATAGATGAATGAAAAACGTTGTTACGGACAGCTTCTCTCAGATTTCTCACCCATTTCCCTTCTCTCTATTTATATCTGACTGAAGTTCTCATTATGACCTTTCTGCTTGGATCATTTTTTCCTTTTCTGACCATCTAATAAATACTTGTTTTTATGGCCTGGTTTCAGTATCACGTTGCTTTACTTTGTGGTGTGTAACCGCTTGCAGAGATTTAAAGACAAGAAGACAAATCATGTGTGGTCAGTGTGTCAACTTAGTGCTTGGCACGCAGCTTCTGTCATTGAAGCAGAACAGGAATAGTTACATGCAGGAAAAAACAGATGAGAGATATTCATAACTGCAGGTAATTCTGGAAACTTGATGGCTCAGAGAATATTGCTCTTCCCACAAGGGCTTGTTTTTGTCACTGTTCTTTATTGATGCCCTCGTTTCCTTTTGCAGTTGTTTCGGCCGGCGCTTGTGAGAAGCAGCCGCAGCCCACCCTGTCTCTGCCTGTGGATGAAGCTCACTCAGACGATTCAGATGATATTGTAATTGTCTCTCCATCACTGAGGATGAAGAAAACCTCCACCCACTTCTTTAATGGGCTCTAATCTTGAATTATTCGGTTCGCAGACAAAGGTATTTCCACTGAGGTAAAGCGTATCGAAGATGAACAAAGGGGGGATGTCAGCCTGCAGTTGTCTGCTTTTTTTCAGCTGTGGTTGAATACTTGTTTGATAAGTCATCTCTGCAGATATATGGCTACAAGCTGCTGACTGTCTGCTAGCCTTAGCCCTGTAGTACAAAGAGAGAGTTTGGGTTGTAAAAATGCTGCACCAAAACAGTTGAATTTGTGAGACAGAAGTTGAAATTGACGAATTTAAATGAAAGCAGCAAAGGCTTGAGATATTTCATAGAATCATGGATTTGTTTGAGTTGGAAGGGAGCTTTAAAGGCCTCCAGTCCAACTGCCCTGCAAAGAACAGGGACATCTACAGCTCTACCAGGTGCTCAGAGCATTTTGTGTCAGAGGAAGTCTTTCAAGTTGACTAAGATGCCTTTTTAAATTGGGAAGTGAAAAATGACTTAGCCCCATTTTTCAGCCTGTGTATGCAAAGGGGAGCAGCTTGTATTTGCTATGAGGTCCTCTCTGTTTAAAAATGTTATTGTTGCATTTTAATTTGTATTTTTATACACTGAACATTTACAGTCTCTGCAGATGTGTAAAGTCTGTTTAGAACATCACTTCTGTCATAGCACTGCTCTAGGTCTACTGCGTCTGCACAGTTTTCTTATTTATTGCTCTTTCCCAGTGTTTGCTATCGTATATATTGTACTACTTTGTACGTGATCACGTAAATGCTTCCATTTGCATTTGTCAGAGAAGGGGTGTAATAGCAGGAATGTCCTTGTGACTAGTTTTTCTGCTTACATATCACAAATGCAAGGGGAGATGACACTGCAAACGTTTGACGTAAAAGATACGATGCTGTATGTCCTGTTCCAGCTTATATCACTGGATTGCCTGAAACTCCCACCTAGCTAAGTCGCTCATACACTGAGCTCTAAGGGGTTTTAAGTTTCATGTTTCTTTGCTTAGATCTCTCCTCTCAGCACTACCTTTGTGTGTGTGCACATTAGCAGTGTATATTGCAAATGCACCCTCAGTCCAATCACGGGCAGGGAGAAGGGTCACAGCCATCTTCTGTGGTTAGCTATGAGGCTTATGCTGGAAAGCATGGCACTGTGCACTCTGTGCTGAGGGATTTGCATGGGGAAGGATAAAACATCTTGTAGCCTGAACAGAAGCAGGATAAGCAGTTGACTTATAGATATCAAGATACCCAGAAATAATAACAGCAATATCTTTACCAGACTTCATGAAGGGACTAGTGACATAATGGGCTGTGGAGAACATGGTCAGAGGAGTCTTTCTAGATCTCTTACACAAACTGTACCTCTTCTTAACTGAAAGGAGGACGTTGTGTTCTAGGCTGTCATTGCAACACCTTCCAAAGGCATTAAAATGCATTTTGTTTTGTTTTGTAAAAGGTGAATCAAGTAAATTATGGGATATTTAGTGAAAGGAGAATTTATTTTACAAACACACAGTAAAGTCTTTGTGAAGACCCTGGTGGTTTCTTTGTCATCAAGGAGTAATAAAATCTCCTGTAAACAGAAAGCACACTCTTAAATAGAAGATTTTTATCACCTTTTCCCTCTTCTTTTTTAAATTAAAAATCAGTCGCTGCTGTTTTGCAGAATACTAATAACTCAGAGCTGTCTCGGTTCTCTGATTTCAATGAACCACTATCTGTGCTTATCATAGTTCATGCCAGTACTTGCAGCCAAAGAGGAAACTGGATGGCTGCAGCACAATGCAGCTGATTTCATTTAATCCCAGCAGTAGAAATGCCGCCTTTGCTTTTTCCAAAGGCAGTTTTGAGAGCTCTCCATACCCAAAGCAGACTAAAGAATGTCATTTATACTCAAGTTGGGTGAATTTTTCCTGCTGGTACTTCGGTCACATGGCTGCAATCTGCAGAAAGGATGAAAAAAAGGCATATAAAATAAAAGAATAAAGGGGATAAAGTCCTCTTGGCAGAAGCCTATACCTATCTCCCTCTATTGCTGAAAGTCACGTTATTTATTAAAAAAAAAAAAGTTATTTTGCCACTTTGCTAAACAGAAGCAGATCTGTATTGAGTTTCTTACGTATAATGTTTCAAGTCTGTAACTGTGCCTGCCATGGATACCTCCAGAGAGAGAGAAACTGGAGCTGAGGGCTGACAAATTAAGGAGAGAATACATAGTGTGTGTCAGGACCGAGTCTGCTATAAAGTACCCACCTAACTGTTACCCTACAGGGAAATGCTTGGACTGCAAATTTAATGAAGTTGACATTCAATTTATTGTGCCATAATGAAGAACCAATATGAAAGTCAGGAAATAGATACAGAGTAGAAAAGCTTCTGTCTTAACTGAGCGTGCGGCCAGCAGCAGTGCTGTTGATAGCTGAATGCCTGGACAAAGGGGAGACAGTCACTTTGTGTGACCAAAGTCACCAAAGGAAGTGTGAGAAAGAGCAAATGTCTTCTGGGGTGAATGAGCTTCATGAATTCAAGTCTGCAGTCTGATAGCCATACAAATCTGGTGCTTCCTTTGAGCACGCTTCAAACTCATAATTCTGAAAGATAACAACACGGTCACAGCGTGTGAATGTTTGGTGTATGCTAGAAAGAGAAACCTCCACCATGTGAGTAACCTGTAGGTCTGGGAAGAGCCATGGAGCAGTAAAGGAAGAAAATGTATTTTTCAGAGGAAATGGAGCATTTTTCCTTTCCTCAGCTCAACAGGGAGCTAAGGACAGTGAACATCTGTGTGGCTCAAACCTGTTAAGACAGGGCCAACACAGACATTTAGTGTCTGAAAAACATTATCTGCAGGGGCATCAAGGTCCTGAAATCAAGTTAAACTCCACTGTAACCTCCCAGTAGCACACTTTCCATTCTGATGATATGCAAGTTCTGCATGGGATGATGTTGCCTACGTAAAACCCTTCACAGTTTGCTGTACTCTTTGCAGGTAGTGATCATGTGTGAATATAGGGATCTTTCACACGATTTGATCTCTTTCTGTCCTTAAGTGCCTATGCCTGTAAATATTTTACTGAGGCATCAGAACCTGAAGGATGTAATATTTCCTTCATAGCTATGCAAATAATCCCTAGACAGGCAGCTTTTTGTATAGATGAAATGGAAAGTTTATTCATCTTGGCATATCAGAAAGCCATCATTTGTGTGATTGTTCTAATAATTGGAACTGTGCAAGTTACCTTGAGATCTTTTTAAAAGCTAAAACAGTTGCAGTGTATTTTCTCCTGGCTGTTGAACTTTCCAATAAAGCCCAAGTTTGTAAATTAATTGTTCATACTTCCCTGTTTCAGTTGTTGTATTTGCATTGCCTTTGCGACCTCTTCAGCTTGCTCCTGTTGTTTTCACTTCACACCTAGGCTGACCTTTTACTCCGTGCTGTTTTGCTAAGCCTGGTCTCCTTCATTCTGCAAGACGAGCAACGAGGCCAGTAAAAAATTAGCTCCTAAACACATGGGGTGTGAGTTTCTTCATTAGTGTTAATTCCAGATCCTGCTGCCAGTAGGGTGAATGGAAGCCTGGCACTACTGACAACAGCGGTGGGCTTTTGCTTTCAGACCTGTTTCTGGTGTTCTGTTCAAAAAGAGGAATCCTGTCAAGTAGTTCTGCAGTGCCATTCCCTCAAATACGTGGCTTTGGGCAGAGTACAGCAAGTCTCATGTGTGCCGCTTCATCTGCTGTGCTGCTTGCTTGTTAGCTGCTACAGTCACAGGGTGAAATCTGGATAAATAATTTGCCAGAAAGAAAAAAAGACAAAACCAGATGTGCGTAAAGCACATTTGTTCTTACTTACGTGGCCTTTAGCATTCATTCTGCCCTCATTGTGCTTGAAGGAGTAGCCTTGAACAGCGAATGTTGCTGTGTTCTTGTTAACGATGCTCTGCTGTGTTCTGCTGATTAAGCCGTTGCCCTTTCCACTCTGGCTTTCCTATTGACTTAAAATCTGAGGTCACGTCTTCGTGCATCTTTTCTGATCCCCAGGAAATGTTCCTGTTGTTCCCCTTACAAACAAAACTTCCCTCTCCAGGTGATGCTCAGGCTGTAACAGCTCTCCCACCATGGGGAAGATTTTTGCCAGCCTGCCTCAAAACCACTTTTGTGGCACTGGGTACCACGAAAATCCCGTGAGGGCTTCTATTCTTGGTCGTACAAACAGATTTGTCATGAAATCCTGATGCTCAAAGTGATGGGGAAGGATCCAGGAGGGCTGTGGTGCTCGCTGTGACACACTGCCTTACCTCCTTGCTGTCAGCCATGCAGTATCACGCCTGCACTTCACTCCTCTGCCCCTCTCCCTCTGTCAGTTCAGCAGTGATGCTCTGCTTTGGTGGTGTAGCAGAGCTTGAAAGTCTTTCCTGCAGTATGAATCTAGAAATGAAATATTGTAAAATCCATCACTTGGTGATAGCACAGCTATAAAAAAAGCTACGCTTAAATGGCCTCTAGTTATTTACACAGAAAATTAAAGCAGTGTTTTGTAAACTTGGGGGTTGATCACGAATGCCTGCAATACAGGTTAGAACATCCTGTCCAAACGTCAGCTTAGGATGAAGCAGTCATCATTATTGGTGTCTTACACCAGAGCCTATCTGTCCAACCTGGATTTTTTTCCTTAGCAGCCACTCCAGAGTTCATGCAAGGAATTGGCAGTTCTCTTCCTCCCCTCAGCGGATGTTCTATAGCCGAGCACAGCTTTTCTGTGCTAGCAAGCCTTTATTATCATACAAAATGTACCAGAATGTTATGTAGAAGTATCTTAAATAATTAAACAGAAACGACGACTGACAAAACAAATGAACAAAGTGCAATTTGAGCTGTGCTATTCTTTCCTTTTCATATTCACTTATTTGCTAATTTGCTGAACTTACTGAACTGCACCGGGTCTGGCTGTGATTAGAGGGAATTTGCCAAGTTCCTTTGTAATTGTTTCTTTGCAATTAACTAAATAATAGAATGTTCTGCGTGTAGCTCTCTGGGGAAAGGAAAGGAGCGGGCAGGTGCTTTTGCAATAGGATTTCCATATCTCCCACCCATTTCCCCGGATCTCACAGTGGTAGAAGATGAGGGAAGGAAAGCGCTGCCTCAGGGCTGGGAATGACAGGATTGACCTTTTCATACCATTTCTTTCATTTGTTTAATGTTTTATGTCGGTCCCACTTGTGGCTGTTTGTTGGCACCCACAAGGCCTACCCATCCCCCTGCTGACTGTGGCACTTTTAAATCCATTTTGTTGGCTAAAGCCTTTCCTAACGTGTGCCAGGGCTGCCAGTCAGGAGGTTCCTCGCTTCGTGGTGTATTAAAATTGGAATTGCTTCATCATGGAGTGAACAAAAAGAATCATGGGTGTGGGGTGACTGTTACTGATGGTGCTCTGGTTGCACAGGGAGGAGCATCTGAAGTCAGAAGCTGCTGAAGAGTGAAAAAGAGGTATTTTCTAGGAGTATTTTCTCCGACTGATGGCCTCAGGGGCAGCTGGGGCCATCTTGCTGGTTTTGTCCATCCTTCTGTCTTCACTGCCTTTAATTTTGAACACATCTGTGTATTTTATACAGAGATTCGGTAGCAGAGCCGCTGCCATAGAAGTTAGCAAACGCTAATGTGGCTCTTTGGGTCACTTTGCAGCAGGATTACCGTTTAGCAAGCTGACATTTGCAGTTTGCTTTGGTTGATTGTAGAACTGTTTTCAGTGCAAGGGTGACTTGCTGTGAGCTCTTGTTTATGCTCTGACACAGGGGTGCCTCGTTTGTCCATTTTGTTTTGGCAAAACAAGAGAGTTACCTATTTGTGCTGGGAGGGAAAAGGCTGCTGGAATCAGGGAAGCCTTGGTAAGTGGTGTGTTGTCATGTAATCAAGGATTGCCTGAATGGAACCAAATGAGAGATGGGAGGCATCTAAGAAAAGCAAACAGTGCTTCCTGACATGGTACAGCAGGCTGTGCCCCACCATGCAGAGCATGGCCAGAGCTGGATCCTGTCCTTTGTCTTTTATTCCCAGTTTGCCAAATTTACTTTTAGATTTTCCCACATCATTATCAATAATTGTGGGATAGAAATTAAAACTGTTGATGCTTCTGTTTCTCTCTAATCCCCAATCCTCATTCTGCTCTAATTTAATCCAGCTGTCACTGCAATGAATGGCAGTGAGGGACATGCACGGGGTGCTGCGAGGCAGCTCCCATCCCTGCTTACCCCCACCCCATGCAGGGCCTCATCCTGCCGCTGCTGCTGACACCCCTGTTAATGGCATCCAGCTTTCTCTGCATTTCATCCCAAAACATTTCGTTCAGTTTGATTTACATCAGCGCTGTCAAATGGGATCTCCGTGTTGAGTGGCTGCTGCATCTGCTTTTATTCCACGTCCATCACATGGCTCACAAAGGCACTTGGATGCATGGCCTGGCGGGGAGTTTCCATCCAGAGCCCCGTGGCAGCAGCAACATCTGCAGCACAGATTCCACCCCAGAGCGCTTTAACGCTGAACTGCTTAAACTGTGGCATCAGTGGCTGACGCAGAGATCTCACAGTGTGAGCAAGGTCTCAGCTCCTTGTCTTGGGGTCGTCTGAACTGGAGGTGAGATATTGCAGACCATGAAATAATTCCCTTATCCTGGCAGGCACTGTGAAAAAGAAAAAAAAAACAAAAGAACAGAAAATGTGCTGTTGTTCTGCTGTCCTGCTGCACAAGGCCGCAGGAGTGGAGGTGCTCTGTCTTGCACCCCTGTGTATCTCATACTTGTGCACACAGCGCTGTGAGCTCAGATGTGGGACCCGGTGCTGTTTGTGAGCGGTAAGATTTCACTTCCTAACACCACATTTGAAAATCCTGCCCTGGTCAAGATCTCTCCCAGCGGTGGTAATGCTGCACTGTGGGGCTCGGAGCTGTCGGCTCGGTGACTCACAGGTCCACATCAGCGTGAGTTACTGAAGCAGCGTCGCTTTTGTGCTGGGGGCTGTGAGAGGCCAAACCTGTGTGCGAACTGCGCACCGCGGTGAGCTCGGTGTGATGGGGCGCGCTAGGAAACCTCACGAGGAGCCTCTGGACACCTCGATGCTGAAAATCCCCCCTCGTTTTTGGAAAACGCTCGTGTTCGAACGCTCAGGAAGCCAACATCGAAGCACGCTGCACAAACGCCCGGTGCGGGGGCACGCCGAGCCCTCAGCTCAGCACCTCGAAGGTCCGAATCCGCGCGTCCCTCTGCCGCGGGACCGCAGTGCGCGGGGTCAGCGGAGGGAGCTCCGCGTCGGAGCGTCCCTCCACAGCCGGGCCCGGCAGGTAGGCCCACCCCGAGCCCGCAGCCCCGCAAGGGGGGGCCGCTCCCGTCCGCCGGCGGTTGGGCGGAGCGCGGCGGCGCCAATGGGAGCGGGCGGGCGGCGCCAGGCGCGGGGGCGGCGGAGCCTCTCGGCGAACAAAGAGGGAGCGAGCGGTGCGGCGGGAGGGGAAGAGGGAGGCGGGGGAGCCGGCCATGCGGGGCTGCAGGTGAGGCGAGGACCCGGCAGCCCGGAGCGCTCCATGGCCGGCGGCTCGGGGTGAATGAAGCAGGCGAGGCGGGCATGGCGGGCGTCAGCTACTCGCCGCCCTGGTGGGTGAGCCTGCTGCACCGCCTGCCGCACCTCAGCCTGCGCTGGGAGCTCACCGCCGCCGACTTCCGCCCGGACGACGCCGAGTACCAGCAGGTGAGCGCGGCGCTCCGAGCGTGGTGCCGAGAAGGGGCCGCGTCCCCTCCGTCCGTGTGGGGGTAGGGGGCCGTCCTGTCCCATCCCGTCCTCTGTCCTCCCCGCCCGGCTGCGTTCCGTGCCCCGGGGCCGCCGGGTCGGAATCGCCCGAGGGTTCGGTGCCGCTCTGTTGGCCGCGTGGTTGCGATGATCGCGGAACCGCGCGCTCGGCTGTCATCTGGGAGCGGGGCTGCGGTGGCTCCGAGTCGCCTCTCAGAGCTGCGGCCGCCGGGATCGGTTTGGCTGCACCATTTTGCTTTTGGAGAGGACTCGTGCCGTCCTGGAACCACAGCCGCTGCTGCGGGAAAAAGGCTCCGGCCGTGAGTGTGCGGGCGGTGCTGCGGCAAGAACGGCGATCGGAGCGAGGCGGGAGCGCGGCTTTGCGGGGTGATGCCGGTGCGGAACGCGGAGGCGATGTGCGGATGCTGAGAAACGTCTTTAAACCAATAACCGGAGCGGAGCACTGACCCGGCTGGAGCATTTGGGGCTTCGTTGCGTGAACTTGCTGTGGTTCCCGTGGCCGAGGGGCTCAATATGGCCACGCGGGGCCGTGGGCTGCAGGCGGCCTGCTGTGCCCCATCCCTTTTGGGGGGGGGCGCTGCCCCTGGGCCGGGGGGCTGCGTGTGCCGTGTGAGCACAGAGCTCACAGCCGGCTGTGCTGTGTGACCTTTGGGTGCCCCACAGGTGTGTGGATGTCACTTGGATGGCCCAAAACGCTCCTCGCAGCACTTTGCAGTTGTGCTCAGATAATTTTACTGTAATTGCATTCGGACTTCTGCTCTCTCCTTCTCCTCTGTGAGTGCAGTGCTGCCCTTCCTGCCATGCTGTTCAGGACTCCTCACGTGGCAGCCGATGGCCTTTTCAGTCTGAACATCAGCTCGAAAGAAAATGTCTTATCAAATCTCAACCCAAGCATCTGGATTACTGCGGGGTCTGTCTTTGGGAGCACGATGTGAATTGCAGCTTTGCTGATTTCAGGGCTGGGGGAGGTGGCCGACAGCTCCAGCAATGCAGGCACTGTTATCAGTGCTTATATAACCATGCTGCTGTGAGTTGGCACTGGAGTTTGTAGCCACATAGATTAATTCTAAGGCAGTGAAACAGGGCAGCTTAATCCGGGAGTGGGAACTGTAATGCTGAGTGCTCTCTCATGCTTCAAATTGTTCTGAATTCTGGCTTTTTCCATTTGCTTTATTATGAATTTGCATCTCCTGCTCTGCTTGAAGCCGGTGCTGGCATAGTTTCCCCTTCTCTTTAGGAATCTGTCATGTTATGGAGGCGGAACCATATAAAACCCTGAAAATAAGGCAGTCCACTTCTTGATTTAAATCCTGTTTATTGCTCTCTTCTTCAGAGGTCTCACAAGTTGGCCCAGTTTGTGGTTGTATTTGTTTTCTACTCTGTTTGTGGTTGATGCCCTCGTTCTGAGGGCATGTGAGCTGTCAGTGCCCACGGTATGTGAGGTCACTGGGGGATGCTCGCTGGGAGCGTATGGGGATGGGAAAGGACAGAGCGTCCCTGGCTGCAGTAAGGAAGGATTACGTTTGCTAAATTGAAAACACCTTCAAGTTTCCATGACTTCAAGCCATAGAGTAGTTGGACGGCTGTCATTAAATAGGCATACAGGTCACTGTATCCATTCTCATTCTGATTCCGCGTGAGGAAGGAAGCAGTGTGTCTTCTCTCGTTCTCAGGAGAAGATTTCCCAGTCATGAGAGAGGGAAAACATTGCTTTCTTTATAAAGTACTGTTTCCTTTAGGATCGTCTTAGTGAAAGCCCACCCTCTCTGTGCTCGTGTTGTGATAGTAGTCTTTGAATTTTGATAATATCAGTCACCATTTGAACAAAATATGAAACCCAGTGGCTTGGATGTGGGTGCTGTCCTGTCACCTGTTGGAGTGCCACGTGCTGTGGGTGAGGAGGGTACGGATGTACCAGGATGTAACCTCTACCTGTCAGGGATTACTGTAATGCCTGAGCCTCTATTCCACTGAAGCAGCAGACATGCTGTTGTCCCCTGAAACCTCTCTGAAGTGCGTGTAGTTCTTAGATAAGCACTCACTGTCTGTGTTTGAAATCAGATCTCTGTGTCTCCTGGGACTTTGGGCGGTGAGCACATCTGCGAGGACCCAGGCTTAACAGCAGTTCTGCTGCTCAGTCCCACACAGCCCCATTCTACAAAGCAGTTACACTGCTGTGCACTGGCCCATATGGAGGCAGCCCCCCACAATCAGGGGGCTTCTTTTGTCTGAGAGCTCGAGGAGTGCTTATGGTGATGCTGCCCAAGGGCTAGGGTTGGTGCAGCTGGGGGCTTTGACCATGTACCTCCTTTACCTTGAGTTGCTCTCTGAAATGCCATCCCCTGGTATTATTTACTTCTTATCTTCTCCCACTGCGTATCATGTTGTGCTAGGTTAGAACACTGCGTGCAGCAGCAGAACAAATCCTCCCACCAGGACTGAATGGTTTCAGTGTATGTATATGCATGGCCTTCAGACGGCTGGCTTCCCTCTCAGCAGTCTGAGGGCATCTTCCCTACCCAGGGGAAGGGAGGTGAGCTTCAGCCCAGGGTGAGCTGTGATCCCTCACATCTGGGGTTGATGTGCTGGGTGATCCCATCAGAGCTGCCTCCATGTGCTGCTCCATAGAGCCTTCCATACACAGCAGCTCATCTCTCTAGTTCCTGCTCTCCCGTGAGTCACTGGGATTGAAGATATCTTGATATGAACAGTTTTGTTCTGGCTGTATTCTCATCTGAGTCATACTGCAGTGCTCTGCAAAGCCTTTTCATTGTGTAGTGAGTCACAAACTCTGGAGTGAAGGGAATGTAAAAATGGAGCACAGCCTGTGTTCCCTCTGACAGTTCTGGTTTCTGTGCCTTTTGCTGCTGAGCAGATAATGGCCATTGCAGCAGCACTGTCCACTTTCCCGATTAACTTGAATGGGAAATGAAGGTGTTCCTTAGGCTGCTGGTGTCACTAACTTAATCTGTTGTTTGTGCTTTATTGCACAGCATTGAGTTCACTTTATTTCTGAGAGTTGGTTAAGGTACTGTGGAGGTCACATGCTGGAAGGTGCACAGTGGGTTTAGGGATAGTTGTTTGAGATGGGAGCCTTTGGTACCAGCAGGAAAGGAACCTAGAATGCTTCTCTGTAGCTCTTATGTCTCACTGTGAGCTGAGAAATGCTCTATAAACAGTGAAGAGAAAGACTAGATATGGTTTAGTGGCTTGTGGTAGCAATGGTAGCAGGAGGACAGTTGTGCTAGATGATCTTGTAGGTCCTTTCCAACCTTGTGATTCTATGGTTCTAAGGGGAAAAGAGGCTGCAAGAAGCTGAGCTGTGGAGTACTGGACTTAAACTTCTGCTCTACTTAACTGTTGCAGAATGGTGAAGTTGACCTGAATCTGTGGGCTCTGTGTGAAAGCAGGCTAGAGGAGAGCAAAGCCCTCCAGCACGTCTTTGAAGCTCTTTCCTTGCATCCCAGCAGCGCTGCTTCTGTTGCACACAGACAGTAGGTGCAGGGGCAGCTGAACGTGCATGGGGAAAAAGCCTGCATGATGGATTCCCACCAGTTCAGAAGCACGGCCATGCTGAAAGTAGCAAAGATAAGAACAGGGCTGTGCTCCAGTCCGCGGTTTTGAGATGGTCTATCTGACTGTGTCACCCAGGAGGTTCTTTGCATGCCCTGCTCGGTGCTGTTATGCAGTAGTATGTTTTTATCCCCTGATATATGTGCTGGGGGACCCAGCAGTGTGAAGGGCTGTGTAAACCCAAGGGCGCTGCCTTTTGTTGGCTTGCAGCCTCTCATCCATGTGTGTTTCAACGTGTAGGCAAGAGTTCAGCACGGAATGAATTCTGTCAGGTACTCGCTGGCTCTGTGAGGCTGTTTCCCTGCACATAACAGCTAATGTCGTCTTTGGAAGTATTTCTTGGCTGGGGAACCACGGTGAAGCCTGAACTGCCAAAAAACTTGGATTAGAGAGATTGTTTTAGAACTTCCTCTACTGTACTGGCGTCCTATTTCAACGCTGAAACCAAGAGTCTTTCTGTAAATTGGGAACATGTGTCTTAGTCAAACTGGATGACGTGTTCTTGTCTCGTTGGCTCCCAGTCAGCGGGTAATGGGCCTTTCTGAAGGGGGGGGGGGGGGGGGGGGGGTCAGGCTGAAGGCTGCATTTGGGAACAGTTGGACCTTTTCCAAAGCCTGATCAGCATCCCGCTGCAGCATTCGTTTCTTCGCACTTTCAGAAAGGTTAGGTGACCCTGGTTAGCAGAATCCAATGTTTTCTAATTATGCTGAAGTCGCTTTCAGATTTTGAAGAACTAATGGTAAATCCCTGCTTCCCTTTTCTCATCAGTGTTGGTTGCATGAGTAACTGTGTGCTCATACATCAGCCCCACTCCGGTCTGTTTGATCCGAGGGAGCTGCAGCACAATGGCTGACCAAGAAATGTGGAACTGAGACAGTTTTTGGTGGTTGATTTACTGAAGTAAGGCACAGAAAGGTTTCTGTATACCATACATCCAGTTGCACAGCAGCATATGGTATACAGACAGGGAAAGAAGTCAACCTCTGCCAGCTTTCTGTCTGCAGCCATACTTTTTTGCTGACCCATGCTGTGCTGCTACGTTTTCAGATGGTCTCCTGAGGGCTCACAGTTTCTGGAAACCCTGGCTGTGGATCGCTGCACTCTGCTCAGAGAGCAGCATTTCTAAATGTATGGTTTTAGCAAACCTAAGTATGCACAGAGGTAAAGGACGGCTTGGAGAAATGTGGAATTCATTGTAGGGGAAAGAGCTGCAGAGGGGGGAGACTGCTTTGTACGTGTCCAATCCTGAAAGTATTAATCCTGTGCAGAGAAGATGTTGCCAGCCCCACTGAACTTTCCAGTGCAAGGAAACCCTTATGCTGTGCCTGGCTTGGGCAGCATCGTGCTGCTCTCAGCTGCACCAGTGG